ATGACAAACCATAATATAACAGATAAACAATTACTCTAATCTACATTTCGGTGGCTAGTTAGCTGGTTGACTGTATGGCTAGCTAGTGAAAGTGACAGCTGAGGTTGACGCTTTGCGAGCACAGCTTACCGCCACACAACTTTTATTTCCTGACAGACTAGCTAGCTAGCTATAGCAAGCAGCTTGGGCCGTTTCCATATGAATTACTTGATTGGAGTCCACCTGTGGTAAATTCAATTGATTGGACATGAATTGGAAAGGCACACACCTGTCTATATAAGGCCCCACTTTTGACAGTGCAAGTCAGAGCAAAAACCAAGCCATGAGGTCGAAGGAATTGTCCGTAGAGCTCTGAGACAGCATTGTGTCGAGGCACAGATCTGGGGAAGGGTACCAAAACATTTCTGCAGCATTGAAGGTCCCCAGGAACACAGTGGCCTCCATCATTCTTAAATGGAAGAAGTTTGGAACCACCAAGACTCTTCCTAGAGCTGGCCACCCGGCCAAACTAAGCAATCGGGGGAGAAGGGCCTTGGTCAGGGAGGTGACCAAGAACTCGATGATCACTCTGACAGAGCTCCAGAGTTCCTCTGTGGAGATGGAAGAACCTTCCAGAAGGACAACCATCTCTGCAGCCTTTATGGTAGAGTGGCCAGACGGAAGCCACTCCTCAGTTAAAAGGCATATGACAGCCCGCTTGGAGTTTGCCAAAAGACGCCTAAAGGACTCTCAGACCATGAGAAAAAAGATTCTGAATGCCAAGCTTCACGTCTGGAGGAAACCTGGCACCATCCCTACGGTGAAGCATGGTGGTGACAGCATCATGCTGTGGGGATGTTTTTAAGCGGCAGAGACTGGGAGACTAGTCAGGATCGAGGGAAAGATGATTGGAGCAAAGTACAGAGAGATCCTTGATGAAAACCTGCTCCAGAGCGCTCAGGACCTCAGATTGGGGCGAAGGTTCACCTACCAACAAGACAACGACCCTAAGCACACAGCCAAGAAAATGCAGAAGTGACTTCAGGACAAGTCTCTGAATGTCCATGAGTGGCCCAGCCAGAATACTTTCAGAATGCACTGTTTATCTGCTGTTATTTATTTCAATCACCTAGATATCATCATTGCTTTCAAAGTGCAAGGATGTGTCCGAATCCGTATCACCAACCAAAATAGATACAGCCTCTTCCACAGTGAAAAGTCGTGGCCGCAGGCCTCCCAAGTGGTGCAGCGGTCTAAGGCACTGCATCGCAGTGCTTGAGGCGTCACTACAGCCCCGGGTTCCATCCCAGGCTGTGTTACAGCCGGCCATGACCGGGAGAACCATGAGGCGGCTTACAATTGGCCCAGCGTCGTCTGGGTTAGGGGAGGGTTTGGCCGGCCGGGATGTCCTTGTCCCATCGCGCTCTAGCAACTCCTTGTGGTGGGCCGGGCGTCAGTAAGCTGACTTCGGTCGCCAGTTGTACGGTGTTTCCTCCGACATATTGGTGCGGCTGGCTTCCGGGTTAAGCGAGCAGTGTGTCAAGAAGCAGTGCGGCTTGGCAGGGTCGTGTTTCGAGGACGCATGGCTCTCAACCTTCGCCTCTCCCGAGTCCGTACAGGAGTTGCAGCGATGGGACAAGACTGTAACTACCAATTAGGGAGAAAAAGGGGTAGAAGTACAAATAAAAAATAATATATATATATATACACAGTACCAGTCAAAATGTTGGACACACCCACTCATTCAAGGGTTTTTCTTTATTTGTCAAAATTTTTACATTGTAGAATAATAGTAGTAACCCAAAAACTGTTAAACAAATCAAAATATATTTTATATTTGAAATTCTTCAAATAGCCACCCTTTGCCTTGATAACAGCTTTGCACACTCTTGGCATTCTCTCAACCAGCTTCATGAGGTAGTCATCTGGAATGCATTTCAATTAACAGGTGTGCCTTCTTAAAAGTTAATTTGTGGAATTTATTTCCTTCTTAATGCATTTGAGCCAATCAGTTGTGTTGTGACAAGGTAGTGGGGGTATACAGAAGATAGCCCTATTTGGTAAAAGACCAAGTCCATATTATGGCAAAAACAGCTCAAATAAGCAAAGAGAAACAACAGTCCATCATTACTTTAAGACATGAAGGTCAGTCAATCCGGAAAATGTAAAGAACTTTGAAAGTTTCTTCAAGTGCAATCGCAAAAACCATCAAGCACTATGATGAAACTGGCTCTCATGAGGACCGCCACAGGAATGGAAGACCCAGAGTTACCTCTGCTGCAGAGGATAAGTTCATTAGAGTTACCAGCCTCAGAAATTGCAGCCCAAATAGTTCAAGTAACAGACACATCTCAACATCAACTGTTCAGAGGGGACTGTGTGAATCAGGCCTTCACTGTCGAATTGCTGCAAAGAAACCATTGCGGCATGTGTAGTTCCCACCGTAAAGCATGGAGGAGGAGGTGTTATGGTGTGGGGGTACTTTGCTGGTGACACCGTCTGTGATTTATTTAGAATTCAAGGCACACTTAACCAGCATGGCTACCACAGCATTCTGCAGCGATACGCCATCCCATCTGGTTTGGACTTAGTGGGACTATCATTTGTTTTTCAACAGGACAATGACCCAACACACCTCCAGGCTGTGTAAGGGCTATTTTAACAAGAAGGAGAGTGATGGAGTGCTGCATCATATGACCTGGCCTCCACAATCCCCCGACCTCAACCTAATTGAGATGATTTGGGATGAGTCGGACCGCAGAGTGAAGGAAAAGCAGCCAACAAGTGCTCAGCATATGTGGGAACTCCTTCAAGACTGTTGGAAAAGCATTCCAGGTGAAGCTGGTCGAGAGAATGCCAAGAGTGTGCAAAGCTGTCATCAAGGCAAAGGGTGGCTATTTGAAGAATCTCAAATATAAAATATATTTTGATTTGTTTAACACTTTTATGGTTACTACATGATTCCATATGTGTTATTTCATAGTTTTGATGTCTTCACTATTATTCTACAATGTAAAAAATAGTAAAAATAAAAATAAACCCTTGAATGAGTAGGTGTGTCCAAACTTTTGACTGGTACTGTATATATATAATTTTTTATAGTCGTGGCCGCTTTGGCGTGATCATTTTGAGTAATGAAGTGAAAAACCCCTGTTAAAAAGTCAAATGACAGCATACCCCTGTTCAGCCACGTGAATACGACAACAGGTTGTTAACTAATTCATTTTGCTATATTGACACATATATTATTGTTAGAAAAACTAGGCCGTTTGCGGCAGGTAGCCTAGCGGTTAAGACCGTTGGGCCAATTACCAAAAGGTCACTGGTTCGAATCCCTGAGCTGGCAAGGTGGGGAAAAATCTGCTGTTCTGCCGTTGAGCAAGGCAGTTAACCTCCAACAGGCGCCGATGACGTGGACATCAATTAAGGCAGCCCCCAAAACCTCTCTGATTCAGAGGGGTTGGGTTAAATGCTGAAGACACATTTTGGTTGAATGCATTCAGTTGTGCAACTGACTAGGTCTCCCCTTTCCCCTATAGTATTTTAAAGAAAGGCCATAAATGGCCGCTATGGGTTCTAAAGAGTAGGGAAAGCTCACCCAAATGTCCTTACCCTGTAAGCAGTCTATGGACAAGGTATGAGTTGCATCCCCTTTTTTCAAAACAGCCTCAATTCGTCGTGGCATGGACTCTACAAGGTGTTGAAAGCGTTCCACATGGATGATGGCCCATGTTGACTCCAATGCTTTCCAAGGTTGTGTCAAGTTGGCTGGATGTCCTTTGGGTGGTGGACCATTCTTGATATACAGGGGAAACTGTTGAGCGTGAAAACCCCAGCAGCGTTGCAGTTCTTGACACACTCAAACCGGTGCACCTGGCACCTACTACCATAACCCGTTCAAAGGAACTTCAATTTTGTCTTGCCCATTCACCCTCTGAATTGCACACGTACACAATCCATGTCTCAATTGTATCAAGGCTTAAAAAGCCTTCTTTAACCTGTCTCCTCCCCTTCACCTACACAGATTGAAGTGGATTTAACAAGTCATATCAATAAAAGATCATAGCTTTCACCTGGATTCACCTGGTCAGTCTATGTCATGGAAAGAGCAGGTGTTCCTAATGTTATGTATACTCAGTGTATTAGCATTTTTTGCGCTTCATGTCAGAAGCTGTCTGTTTTTCCTATGCTTCATGTTTCCTGTTGTAACTTGTAATAAACCAGATTGATTTTTGATTGACTTTATCTGCAACTGCTCTTCTCTTTAATTTAAATACAGCATTTAATAGCAGAGTATTTCAATGTAATTTGGGGAGTAGCAGGTTTAATGTAGCCCCATATAAGGTCCGTGTGGCAGCCTACATCTAGCCACAATTTTGAAAAGGGGACCTAGGCAGGAACTCAGGTGGGAACTCAGCCTTACCTTTGTGCAGTATGTAGGCCAGACCTTTTTATTTTACAATCGTTTGGAACTATATGTCCCAGATCTGGGCCACACCTTTTAGAATTAAACATTTTACAGAGTGTGTGCCAGATCTGGGCCGCTCCTTTTTAATCTGATGGTGATGCAGTATTTGACCCAGGCATATGGTCCAGAAAAACACAAAGTATGTGGCCCAAAGCTGCACCGGAGTAATTTTGCGAACTTGGGAACAGGAGAAAAGGTGAAGGGGCCATTGATTTTAAGCAGTTAACTTGAGATGCATCTCCTGTCAAACTCAAACACAAAGCAGCATTCTGTGAGAAGGACCACCATTTATTCTAGTGGTGATGAATCCTCCATGACATGAGTTTTCCAGTTGCCAATTAAATTAAGACCTTATAAAGTAGTGGGCATTCAGTAAAGCTCTTGACAGAATATGTTTTTTCTTAATTGGCAGGTAGTAGGCCTATCATACAAACAAAGAGAAATACTGTAACGGGCCTGCCTAACCCTTTTCTGGGATACACCCAACCTTGTCCCAGGACATTACAGGATCCATGATGACTAACCACAGAAGGCGGTATGACATCACCAACCCTGCCAGGAATCATTTGCTAGTTGTTCCTCACGCTTAGCAAGTTGCTTCGAATACTGTATGATTTCATGAAAGGAGCAAAAACTACTTTAGACCGTTGAGTTATTTGCAACCAGGGAGAAACACAAAAGTGTCTGACCAGTCTGAAACAATGTCTTTCATCCCAGGACAACCAGTTACTGCTGTTGTGGTAAGTTTTGGAACGATACTCTTCATTCAATAGCTATGGCATCCATTGTCCAGGCCTAAAATCCTTCAAGCAGTGCCTCGATGCAAACTATAAAAATGTACCTAAAGTATTTAGTCAAAAAATGTCGGTTTCACATTGTAGTATTACTGTTTACAATCGTGAATGTGACATTGTGTTCATGCTTGCTTGCTTGCTTCTACTCTTGACAATGTAACTTTGCGAATTTACCCAGCAAAACATGTTCGAAACATTGCTGTTCGATAATCCAACTACCTATATAACGTTACGTTTTACTCCTTTCTCTGTTTGTTGTCAGTCTTCTTTCTTTCAAATTGAATTAACTGCTGTTGCTATCTTGCTAACAGTTTAGGAGCATTTCATTTAATGGGCTAACGTTATGTATTTCATTTTCATATGCGCAATCTAGTATTAACCTAAAGTAAATTAATCTACCTAGCTAGCTAATGTTACACTGTTCTGTCTTGGCAACCTTTTATTTATTTAGGAGCATCTCTGCATTATGGATAGCAGCTAGCATTAGCCAACTTGTTCGCTATGCTACATGGATGAAAGTGAAGCGTTTCAGAGAAAGGCGTCACCAACCTACCTGAGACAACTTGGGTACAAGTCTACTCCTCCCATACACAACTGGCGGACTGGTTCCGGACCCAGAACGGGGTCAATACGGAGTGCAGGTCGTTTTTTTACTCGGTTGGGCTTCAACCCCTGTTATCATATAAACACAAATAAGACATGGAAGAATGCAAAGAATTGCAGGAAAAAATAGTACTTGAGTACCCCTGGCCTACTCTACTGACACAGCCATTGAAGTGACTTGTTCAATACTGTGTCATTCATGAAAGGCCACATGCATAAGTACAGTGAAATGCTTAACTTGCAAGATCTACCCAACAATGCAGTAATCAATATCAAAATAGTATATTTAATAAAACATGTTGAGGTAATCTGAAGATATTTCACCCCATGCTTCCTGAAGCACCTCCCACAAGTTGGATTGGCTTGGCTTGATGGTTACTTCTTATGTACCATATGGTCAAGCTGCTCCCACAACAGCTCAATAGGGTTGAGATCCGGTGACTGTGCTGGCCACTCCATTATAGACAGAATACCAGCTGACTGCTTCTTCCCTAAATATTTATTGCAAAGTTTGGAGCTGTGCTTTGGGTCATTATCCTATTTTAGGAGGAAATTGGCTCCAATAATATAATAATATATAATAATAATATAATAATAATAATATGCCATTTAGCAGACGCTTTATCCAAAGCGACTTACAGTCATGCGTGCATAATTTTTTTTGTGTACGTGTGGTCCCGGGGATCGAACCCACTACCTTGGCGTTACAAGCGCCGTGCTCTACCAGCTGAGCTACAGAGGACCACCAATCAAGCGCCGCCCACAGGGTATGTATGGCATGGCGTTGCAAAATGGAGTGATAGCCTTCCTTCTTTAAGATCCCTTTTACCCTGTACAAATCTCCCACTTTACCACCACCAAAGCACCCCCAGACCATCACATTGCCTCCACCATGCTTGACAGATGGCATCAAGCACTCCTCCAGCATCTTTTCATTTGGTCTGCGTCTCACAAATGTTATTCTTTGTGATCCGAACACCTCAAACTTCGATTTGTCTGTCCATAACACTTTTTTCCAATCTTCCTCTGTCCAGTGTCTGTGTTATTTTGCCCATCTTAATCTTTTATTTTTATTGGCCAGTCTGAGATATGGCTTTTTCTTTGCAACTCTGCATAGAAGGTCAGCATCCCGGAGTCACCTCTTCACTGTTGACGTTGAGACTGGTGTTTTGCGGGTACTATTTAATGAAGCTGCCAGTTGAGGACCTGTGAGGCGTCTGTTTCTCAAACTAGACACTCTAATGTATTTGTCCTCATGCTCAGTTGTGCACCGGGGCCTCCCACTCCTCTTTCTATTCTGGTTAGAGCCAGTTTGTGCTGTTCTGTGAAGGGAGTAGTACACAGCGTTGTACGAGATCTTCAGTTTCTTGGCAATTTCTCGCATGGAATAGCCTTCATTTCTCAGAACAAGAATAGACTGACGAGTTTTAGAAGAAAGTTATTTGTTTCTGGCGATTTTGAGCCTGTAATCAAACCCACAATTGCTGATGCTCCAGATACTCAACTAGTCTCAAGAATGCCAGTTTTATTGCTTCTTTAATCAGCACAACAGTTTCAGCTGTGCTAACATAGTTGCAAAAGGGTTTTCTAATGATCAATTAGCCTTTTAAATTGATAAACTTGGATTAGCAAACACAACGTGCCATTGGAACACAGGACTGATGGTTGCTGATAATGGGCCAATGTACGCCTATGTAGATATTCCATAAAGAATCAGCCGTTTCCAGCTACAATAGCCATTTACAACATTAACAGTGTCTACACTGTATTTCTGATCAATTTGATGTTATTTTAATGGACAAAAAAATTGCTTTTCTTTAGTAAACAAGGACATTTCTAAGTGACCCCAAACTTTTGAACGGTAGTATATATATATATATATATATATATATATATATATATATATATATATATATATATATATATATTATATTTACCATTCATTTCTGTTGGGCAGAAAATAATCTGAAACACAACCAAAACAAACAGCAATGCGTCCAACAAATGTGTTGAGTCACAATCTTGATGTAGTCATTGCATGCTATGAATATGGGACAAATACTTAACTTTTTACTACTTTAATACAAATATAAGTGAATTGGGCCCAATACTTTTGGTCCCCTAAAATGGGGGGGGACTATGTACAAAAAGTGCTGTAAATTCTAAACGGTTCACCTGATATGGATGAAAACACCCTCAAATTAACAGTTTGCACTTTAACCTGCACTTTAGTCATTGTATCATTTCAAATACAAAGTGCTGGAGTACAGAGTCAAAGCAACAAAAAATGTCACTGTCCCAATACTTTTGGACCTCACAGTATGTGCATGTAGGCGGGTGATTAGGAGAAAGTGACTGGTAGCAGGATAAATAATAATAATAATAATAATAGTAAACAGTATGGCAGAAGCATACGTGGTGGGTGGGTGGGTTTGTATCTAAGTGTGAGGGTGTTAGTGTGAGTCAGTGTAGGCATGATAGGCATGTAAACAGGGCTGACAAGTGACTGGTAGCAGGAATATATAAAATACTTATAGTAATATACCAGTGGTAGTACACTGAGTATACCAAACATTAGGAACACCTTCCTAATATTGAGTTGCACCCCCCCCCCCCCCCCCCCACACACACACACACACACACACCTTTGCCTTCAGAACAGCCTCAGTTCGTCTGGGCATGGACTGTACAAGGTGTCGAAAGTGTTCCACAGGGATGCTGGCCCATGTTGACTCCAATGCTTCCCACAGTTGTCAAGTTGGCTGGATGTCCTTTGGGTGGTGGACCATTCTTGATACACACAGGAAACTGAGCGTGAAAAACCCAGCAGCGTTACAGTTGTTGACACAAACCGATGCGACTGGCACCACTACCATACCCCGTTCAAAGGCACTTAAATATTTTGTCTTGCCCGTTCACCCTCTGAATGGCACACATACACAATCCATGTCTCAATTGTCTCAAGGATTAAAAATCATTATTCAACCTGTCTCCTTCCCTTCATCTACACTGATGTGAAGTGGATTTAACAAGTGACATCAATAAAGGATCATAGCTTTCACCTGGATTCACCTGTTCAGTCTATGTAATGGAAAGAGCAGGTATTCTTAATGTTTTGTATACTCAGTGTATATATATGTGAACAGGAGTAAAAGTGACCAGCAGCAGGATACAATGGATAGGTACTAATGGTAATGGCAATCAATAATACTTTTTGCAGCAGCTTAGGTGTGAGGGGGAGCAGTAGTAGTTAGCCATTTAACAGTTTTATGGCCAGGGGATAGAAGCTGTTTAGGAGTCTGTTGGTCTGAGCCTTGATGCACCAGTACCGTCTGCAGGATGGGAGTATGGAGAACAGTCCATCTCTCGGGTAGCTGGAGTCTTTGGCAATTTGTCTGGCCTTTCTCAGACACCGCCTGGCATGTAAGCCCTGGTTGGCTGGGAGCTCACCACTAGTGACGCGCTGGGCCGTCCGCACCACCCTCTGTAGGGCCTTCTGGTCGGGAGTGGTGCAGTTGCCATAGCAGACGGTGATACAACCAGTCAGGATGCTTTCAATGGGATGCCTCGCAACACTGTTTATTCCTAACATCAGCGAGAAATATGAGTCATGGAGTAATTGCCTAGTAGCCTAGTGACATAATTATGTATTTTAGCTATTTACATTCTATTTGATTACAGTATGACACAGGCTACACACACCAATCTTATTTAGTTGCATGATTTAGTATGTGTTGCCCACTCTTATGCAACAGCTATCTTCCACACACTCTATAAGTTGAATGCCATAGTATGCTGCTGTTTTCTGGTTGATCTTTATATTTGACAAATCTGGTGTCAGTCATGTGAACAATGGGTTACACAGATACTTTGGGTTGATCTTTCCATGAATATGATCAGCCTGCGTTATACATTTCCATGAGGGTTTCCATGTTCTCGTCACCAAGAACTTCAGATCCACTGATCGATTGTTGACCATGTTGACCACTGAGTGCAGTGGTTTGAAGAACTTTGAACCACTGACACTATGAACCACACTACTGAGGCTCCTATTATTCACCATCACACAGACTGGCTTTGTGCTGTAAAGAGCAGTGAGCTGGATGTGCCAGAATCCTCCATCTGCTCTAATGAGAGGGCAGCTGTCTGAGGACCATGGGGATAGCTAGACTGAGAAAAGATCTGTGTCTCCAGTCAGTTGGGGCAGAGGGTTTCCCTTTCAGTCGGTCACTCGACATCACACAACAGTGGGATTCTCTTTGTTCCTTTGGGGAAGTACAGCCGATTCATAACCGTAGTGTTCTACATTCTTAAAGGGAACACAGTGCTCACCAATCAATTTTACATTCTATTCATTTACCACATTTTTATTATTGCAATGGTAGAATGGGAATACGAACAAATACTTGGTGGTTGTTGAAGTTATGAATTCTTTCCTCTCCAAGCTCAACGACCAATTTTCATGTGTTTTACAGCAACGGATAGAGATCCGCAAACTCCGCCAGGGTGAACACTTGATCCTGGGTTTCAGCATTGGAGGAGGAATAGACCAAGACCCTGGCCAGAACCCCTTCTCTGAAGACAAGTCAGACAAGGTACGGGTAAAACATGAAAAAATACTCTCCCTGTCAGTTCTCAGTGAGCTCAGTTCTGGCAAAATGCCATTAACATCAGAGAGGCAGGTCTGAACTGATCAACTGTAGCCTCGGGTAGCAACACTGCTGACCCAGATAGCTCATCTCATACAATAGCATATATTACTCAAATAGTGACATTTTATAGTTCTATCATCAAACCAGTTTATATAGAATTGATGCTAGTTAATATCTTTTATATGTAGATGCATAGACTTTCATATCTATTTTCATATATATTTCTCTTTTGCAGTTTTTATGTTTTTCTGTGTTGTATCTGTGTGTCTGTGTGATCACAGGGCATCTATGTGACACGGGTGACACCAGAGGGACCAGCAGAAGTTGCAGGCTTGATGATGGGAGACAAAGTAATGCAGGTAAACTTTTAAATATTTGTAGATGTTTCAAACTTTTGGCCTCAAGATACATTTACTTTTACCTAGTCTCTCGTGGACAAACTACATAAACATACATTTGACCACGAGCAGCACCGCAGATATTGAGGTGAGCAAGATGCAATACTTAGCTCTCACACAGTATCTGCGCATGTGCATGGGTCCGATTCACGCTGTTACAGCGTGGTAGCCAGGGCACCAAAACAGCTGAGAAGTTAAGCCTCACACTTCAACACTCTTAGTTGTTGCGGAAATTAACCCACTATGCTGTTTACTTTCTGCATCTATGTCATATCACTGAATCTACCTTTAACTAAGATTACCTTTTACTTTATTGATGAATTTCCACAAGGTGGCAACATTTACTCAGTTTCAGTTGTGATTGGACTTTGCCTAGTGACTGTAAAAGACCAGTACACTATTCTATCCTGATATTATACTTACCTCACATCAGGAATAATAACTACTGTAAAGAAGACCTTTATCAGAATATTATAATTATTGATGTCTCTCTCCACCAGGTGAATGGATGGGATATGACCATGGTGACACACGATCAGGCACGCAAACGGCTGACGAAGAAGAACGAAGATGTCGTGCGGCTACTGGTGACCAGGAAATCACTGGAGCAGGCTGTCAGACATTCTATGATGTAATGACTCCAAACAGTAGCAGCGGCTTGGTGACCTCATTGTCTTTCGACAGTTGGCGTCCCTCCTATGCAACGCTAGTCCTTTCGTGCAGAAGGAGTTTGCTATCTGACGTAAGACAATGCCAGTGACCGAGAGCACAGTATTCCAAAGCTTTTCTCGCATACTGTAAGGTTGGGGTGAATTCCATATAAATTCTGTCAATGTATGAGGTAGAAAGAAAATGCTATTCAAGAATAGAAAATTGCCATTTATTTTCCTACAAGGATTTTTCACTTCCTGAATTGATGGAGTTGAAATGGAATTGATTACAGTCCTACTCACATTTTCCCAATTCAAACATGGTACAACCCTTTAATAACATCGCTATAGAATCAATATGGTGCTAGTTATTGGGATCATTAATGCCTTTACTAGCTGACATGAGCATGACTTATTAAGTAATTAGTACATTTCATTACAGTTTATGATCTGTCATTTTATGTTTTCAAGTCAACGTCTTTACAAGCCAAAGGAAAACAGTGCCAAGAAACTGTAGATTGAAAGAGGTTGCTTTGCAAACACATGCAGACAAAGCACATAGCATTTATCTGCTACAGTAATTTGTATGTATTCCATAGAGGCTTCCTGCTTATATGAATTATTATGTTTGAGTTTAATGTATGGCATTAATAACAATGTAACACTTAGTGCTTAACACTGCTTTGTGTTGGGGGAATTGGGCTTGGATTATATATTTTGGTATCTTTATCCATGCAGTGCATCTACCAAACTAACAAGCGCAGCCAAACTGCATACTTTATATTTCATTATACACTAATTGTACTTGTCTACCAAATACTGTAATATTGATTTGAGGATTGGACTTTTGTAGGTAGTGTAGCAGGAAGACAGTTACGTCTCATTCTCAACCATCTGGGTATAATTAATCTGGTGTTGCCATCATTGCCTGGAAATCAAGGCAAGAGTATAGTCAATTTTAAGTGCCTTCTTTCTCAGGTTCATATAGAGAAAGTGGCATGTTGGATTGTTAATTAGGTCGCTTGCTGGTTGATGTCAGACAGCTAATACACTTTAGTTGCATGCTGGACCAACGTTGAAGGATCAAATTAAATGAAAGAGACGTTTGAATACGCACAGCCTTAAATTAGACTCTAGTGATTGTACCGCTAAAACGTGATGGCGCCAATAGGGTTTTTGTATTCACGCTGTTTTCCATTCCTATATTGTTCAACGATATTGCATTTATCACTGCCTCAGCCATGTTTTACACAGCGATGCCTCACTGATTTAATCCAATCTTATCAATTCCTATTCAAATGGATCAAAGGTAAAGTGATATTGTAATGTGGATTACAATGGTACCTAATATACATACACGTCCTAGTATGTTCTACTAATGAAATATTTTGTATGGTTTTGTTTTTGTTAGAATTCTTTGATTTGGGAGATTATCATGATATACTGTATTGTTGGCAGAGTGACATAACTTAGTCTACACACAACTTTGTAAAGAATAAACACTTTAAAAGCCTGCCCAACCTTTTGATAAATGTAGCCTTGCATGAACATTTTCTATAATTACTCCAAGTATATGACGAAAACCTTTGATATTACTATTTTGGCAAATGATTGTATACTGGACACTTTCCGAATGTTCTTTAACATAAATCAAATTGAACTGAAAGATTGCTTTCTTTTTTGCGGTATTATGTGTTTGTCAGGCGCTTTACAAAATTAGCAGTTGTCACCTATAGACTGTCACCCATAGACTGTCACCCATAGGTCCCATAGGGTGATAGAGAAAAATATAATATTTGGTTATAAGACATGAGCAGGGATATTACCTTCTCAGTGTGCGCTGTATGTTAGAAGAAATATCCCTGTTTTTGTGAAAGAATAAACCAACATCAGCTGAAACCATGAAGAGCAGCTGTTCTTCACAGATCCACAGCTGCTAATTAAATGGTGTTAGTGAGCATAAGTGTGAATGTTAGATTTGAAGCAATTGGAACATCTTGGTGTGTGCATAGATTCATGGTGTGTGTGGGAAGTTGCACAGCTTACCACCACCCGTCATCCACCATTGTATGTAGCATAGTAATCAATAGAAACGCATTGAATAATACATTTATAGATGGCAAAAGACAGTCAAACATTTAATCATAAGGAATAGGGTTTTGAAGTCTCTGTCCTATATCTAAGAGATATAAGTTTTATCTAATATTTTAGTTTTTTGGACACATTTGAACCCCTTTTTTTTTGTTGGCACAAAACTACTTCCATACTTCCATTCATTTTTTAAACTGACACCGGGTTACCTTCAGAGGAGTCCCTTGACACTTGTGGCACCATCGAGTCCCATGACACCATCATGATCGTGTGTCTCATCTTGCCATAGAGTGGTCATATTAGTTTCTAGGCCAAACTGTTCTGACACTACAGACGTGTTCGTGAGAAGAATTTTTTGGATATCTGACAAACAGCGCTGTAGCTCTGCCACTTTCCATCACAAATGTGGAAGGCCGACATACGCGGATGCGGTGGATTGAGACGCAGCCCTTACAAAAAAACTGATATCTAGCTTAAACAGACGGATTCTGATGGGGATAATTTTTTCACGGGTGCGTCAATCAACTCTTAAGGATTAATATTGCCGCTAAAAACAAACATTCCCCTTTTAACTGCAGGTGTTGCAGCAACACCTGATGCACCGCCAAGAGCAGCCAGGTCCATCCTCTCCCTCATTTCTTCCCTCTAAGAATAGCAGCACATCCCTGCATCACAACATCATCTTTTATCCAATTCAGCATATTTTTATTCATGACTGTCATTAACAAAGATGCAGACATGGCACTATTTTTCCCTTACTAATTGTCATGCTAATGATGTGGTCCCATCATGGGTCTATACTGGTCGCTGTACCAGGTCAGGTGAGAGGTTTTTTGGGGGGGCTGGAGGGGGTCGATTCAGTGAGATGCTAGCTAAAATCTTTTGAGAAATAATTTATGAGGAAACTGTGCGCGCGCAGCACACATTGTGTGTGTGTTTCTCTGTGTATGAGAGAGAGAGAGTGAGTCTGTTGACATGAAGGCATCAGTAAGAGTTGTTTGTCTCATTGGGACTGACTTTTTGGGGGGTCTAATGCAGAAGGAAGCATGCTCCATTCCACTTGCCTAAAGGCTGCAGGGAAATATTATGTGGGGCTACAGTGGATGTGGTTGACCACAGATTTCTTGTTTGCTTGTTGCTAGGTAACTGGATTTAACGAGATAATCACCACCTCCATCTCAAGAGATACAGTGAGGGAAAAAAGTATTTGATCCACTGCTGATTTTGTACGTTTGCCCACTGACAGAGAAATTATCAGTCTATAATTTTAATGGTAGGTTTATTTGAACAGTGAGAGACAGAACAACAACCAAAAAATCCAGAAAAACGCATGTCAAAAATGTTATAAATTGATTTGCATTTTAATGAGGGAAATAAGTATTTGACCCCCTCTCAATCAGAAAGATTTCTGGCTCCCAGGTGTCTTTTATACAGGTAACGAGCTGAGATTAGGAGCACACTTAAAGGGAGTGCTCTTAATCTCAGCTTGTTACCTGTATAAAATACACCTGTCCACAGAAGCAATCAATCAGATTCCAAACTCTCCACCATGGCCAAGACCAAAGAGCTCTCCAATGATGTCAGGGACAAGATTGTAGACCTACACAAGGCTGGAATGGGCTACAAGACCATCGCCAAGCAGCTTGGTGAGAAGGTGACAACAGTTGGTGTGATTATTCGCAAATGGAAGAAACACAAAATAACTGTCAATCTCCCTCGGCCTGGGGCTCCTTGCAAGATCTCACCTCGTGGAGTTGCAATGATCATGAGAACGGTGAGGAATTAGCCCAGAACTACACGGGAGGATCTTGTCAATGATCTTAAGGCAGCTGGGACCATAGTCACCAAGAAAACAATTGGTAACACACTACGCCGTGAAGGACTGAAATCCTGCAGCACCCGCAAGGTCCCCCTGCTCAAGAAAGCACATATACAGGCCTGTCTGAAGTTTGCCAATGACCATCTGAATGATTCAGAGGAGAACTGGGTGAAAGTGTTGTGGTCAGATGAGACCAAAATCGAGGTTTTTGGCATCAACTCAACTCGCCGTGTTTGGAGGAGGAGGAATGCTGCCTATGGCCCCAAGAACACCATCCCCACCGTCAAACATGGAGGTGGAAACATTATGCTTTGGGGGTGTTTTTCTGCTAAGGGGACAGGACAACTTCACCGCATCAAAGGGACAATGGACGGGGCCATGTACCGTCAAATCTTGGGTGAGAACCTCCTTCCCTCAGCCAGGGCATTGAAAATGGGTCGTGGATGGGTATTCCAGCATGACAATGACCCAAAACACACGGCCAAGGCAACAAAGGAGTGGCTCAAGAAGAAGCACATTAAGGTCCTGGAGTGGCCTAGCCAGTCTCCAGACCTTAATCCCATAGAAAATCTGTGGAGGGAGCTGAAGGTTCCAGTTGCCAAACGTCAGCCTCGAAACCTTAATGACTTGGAGAAGATCTGCAAAGAGGAGTGGGACAAAATCCCTCCTAAGATGTGTGCAAACCTGGTGGCCAACTACAAGAAACTTCTGACCTCTGTGATTGCCAACAAGGGTTTTGCCACCAAGTACTAAGTCATGTTTTGCAGAGGGGTCAAATACTTATTTCCCTCATTAAAATGCAAATCAATTTATAACATTTTTGACATGCGTTTTTCTGGATTTTTTTGTTGTTATTCTGTCTCTCACTGTTCAAATACACCTACCATTAAAATTTTAGACTGATCATGTCTTTGTCAGTGGGCAAACGTACAAAATCAGCAGGGGATCAAATACTTTTTTCCCTCACTGTATACAGTACTACCCTTCCTAATAATACTGTAGTAGAGTAGTTGTGGTTCATGTAGATGAAATCATTTCATTGAGGTAGAAAACTCAAACCAAAACTATGCCAAAACAATAAGCTTATTGAGAAACTATTTATACTGATATTCTACGAATAAACTTGTCTCTTGTCAATATAAATATCCATTGGCTTTGAGATAGCCAAAAGATATCATTTTATTTTTCTCCCTTATCTGCATTGATTTACATTGGATCAAGCAACCATTTCACGCTTGAGAAAATCACGTTGATTTAATTAACAAATCAGATTTCATGCAAGACAATGGAGCCATCACACATCACACACACTATCCTGCAAATGACATGCCTTACTTTCTACAGAGAAGTGCATAATTATCTGGCTAAATGTGGATCATACATGGTCCAAACCTCCCACGCTGTGACAGGGTAATTGTGTTTCCATAGTGATGCAATCTGCTCCCATCACTTTGGAGACACCAGATTGGAATCATGTGATCATGCAACATTTACATTTACATTTTAGTCATTTAGCAGATGCTCTTATCCAGAGCGACTTACAGTTAGTGAGTGCATACATTTTTCATTCTGGAACCATAGCTTCCAATCTCTGCTTGTTCTGAGGGTAAAGGATTTTCAAGTCATTCCTTATGATGATGTTTTCTAGAAATGTCAAATTATCATGGTACAACAAAGATGTCCAATGCACTTCCTGTTTGTCCTTAAAAAACACTGTTGATTACCGTTGTTAATGTTTTTGTCAACAATATAAATCAGTCTTATTCAAAATCAAATCAAATAATTGTATTTGTCACATGCGCCGAATACAACAGGTGTAGACCTTACAGTGAAATGCTTACTTACAAGCCCTTAACCAACAGTGTTAAGTAAACAATAGATAAGTAAAAAATAAAAGCAGTAAAATAACAGTAGAAAATAACAGTAGCGAGGCTATATACAGGGGGTACCGGTACATAGTCAATGTGCGGGGGGCACCGGTTAGTCAAGGTAATTGAGGTAATATGTACATGTAGGTATAGTTAAAGTGACTATGCATAGATAATAAACAGAGAGTAGCAGCAGCATAAAAGAGGGGGTGGGGGACAATGCAAATAGTCCGGGTAGCCATTTGATTAGCTGTTCAGGAGTCTTATGGCTTGCGGGTAGAAGCTGTTAAGAAGCCTTTTGGACCTAGACTTGGCGCTCTGGTACTGCTTGCCATGTGGTAGCAGAGAGAACAGTCTATGACTAGGGTGGCTGGAGTCTTTGACAATATTTAGGGCTGCCTGGTATAGAGGTCCTGGATGGCAGGAAGCTTGGCCCCAGTGATGTACTGGGCCGTACGCATTACCATCTGTAGTGCCTTGCGGTTGGAGGCCAAGCAGTTGCCATACCAGGCAGTGATGCAACCAGTCAGGATGCTCTCGATGGTGCAGCTGTATAACTTTTTGAGGATCTGAGGACCCATGCCAAATCTTTTCAGTCTCCTGAGGGGGAATAGCCTTTGTTGTGCCCTCTTTAGGACTGTCTTGGTGTGTTTGGACCATGATAGTTTGTTGGTAATGTGGACACCAAGGAACTTGAAGCTCTCAACCTGTTCCACTACAGCCCCGTCGATGAGAATGGGGGCGTGCTCAGTCCTTCTGATCCTGTAGTCCACAATCATCTCCTTTGTCTTGATCACGTTGAGGGAGAGGTTGTTATCCTGGCACCACACAGCCAGGTCTCTGACCTCCTCCCTATAGACTGTCTCATCATTGTCGGTGATCAGGCCTACCACTGTTGTGTCATCGGCAAACTTAATGATGGTGTTGGAGTCGTGCCTGGCCATGCAGTCATGGGTGAACAGGGAGTACAGGAGGGGACTGAGCACACACCC